CCGAGAACATTCCCATCCCCATGCCCCTATATAGAGTAACTAGCATGGCAGCAAATAATGTGGAATTACAGGGATATGTGCCGGGTGTGCTTGGAGCGAGATGGGCCGGCCTGAGGAGAGACCAGAATCTGGACTGCACGTGCCCCGAGGATAGCCTCACCAGAATCCGAGTGGTGGGGAACGTTGCCACAGGCTACTTCACCTATGAGATGGCACACCGATTTGTGCTCTGCCTTTTGACCCTGAAGAATGAGAGTGGCCGGGCCACAAGCCCACCCCCATCTGGCAATACACCGTTCAAAATCGGTATAAGCATGCACACTGCCCCCACACGTTTGACAAGGTGGGGCCCAAGGGGGGAAGATTGGGAAAATTAAATGGAGTGGGGCCAGGGAAGAGCAACAGGATGGGGAAAAAGATGAGCTCCCAAGAGATCATTATCGTCCACATTTTCATGATTGGTCAAATCTGGACCCAACCATACCTTTTCGACCTTGTCGAAGTTCCCAGACCCCTTTCTGCCTTCTACATTGCGTCTGGTTCCCCGCAGCTGGTATGGTCTACACCAGAAGTTAGTGTTCAACCAATTACTCATTGCCTATAGGAAGCTGCTAGTGAGACTGTGACAAACTGTTTTCTGCAGCCGCGCGATTTTCTGCCCAAGACTACAGCCCCACGATTTTCTGCGCAAGACTACTTCGGGGGTTGAATCGGGATGGCCTGGTGAACTGCATGGGTGCCCTTGCTTTGTTTGTTTTTCCTTTGGAATTGAGGTCGGGGTAATCTTGCGACGGTTAGCTGATTGCGCCTTGCGAGCGCGAAAGATAACTGTTGACATAGCTTCTTACTTGTTCTGCTGTGGGAAATGGGAATTTTGGCGCGATCGTCGCGCGGGAAAATCTTTTTGAATTTTCAACTGATGTCGAGCCCCCTGCGGGCTCTCGAAATTTGCTTCGTTCGGAATTTCTTTGTGCACTTGGGATTTAGATTAGGAATTTGGGCGCACCTCAATTTATGCGGCACGACGCTTCTTGCTTGCGCACGCCTTGCAGCGTCATGATCTGCGCTCTGACTTTTCCACGCCTTAATCCTTGCGTGTAACTGTACTGTAATCCTCTCGTTCTTTATATTTTTTGTGGCGTCCCTGTGCGCGTATACTTCTTACCCTGTCCTATTGGCCTGAACGCTTGCATGACCGGATCGATGTGTGGAATGAGGTTACGTCCCCCACGCCGCGGCCTGGCCATGCAGTCGTAGGCACTTCTTTCCTCCTTCTTCCTCCTACTAAGATGCAATCCCGGGTATCACGCGCACGCATGCATGCTATAAATTTCGCACCGCGATTAACTTGCTCTCTAAGAATTCGGGAAGTTAGCGCGGTCGAGAGGATTGGCTAACGAGCAAGATTTGGAAGGTGAGTAGAGAGTTGGGCGATCTGACGAGCTTGAGCTCGGCATGCGGGGTTGACGTGGGGCCGCGACGGACTGTGGCACACGGGCGAACCTGACTTGCATGCTCTGGAGTGGGGTAACAACTCCGTGTGGGTGCGAGGCGATGGACTGCCCGCATCGAAACGTTGTGAAGAGAGAGAGGGAGGGAGAGAGGGGAGGTGTTGTGGTGATGTTTCTTTTCTGCTCTTCTGAGTAATTTTGGTTCTTCTTCCATCCTTCAGAATGTATTCTGCGCAAGTCACCCTTTTCCTTTCTGGATCGACATCCCCGATTTTTCCTTTGCTCTCTTCAGAGATCGATGTATGGCTATATTCCTCCACTCCCCCTTCTCTTAATTTTAGAATTGATAAATTTGATTGGGTGGTTGCCTGCGATCGAATCTTCTGCTGTTGATAGAAGAACTGTGGCATAAGGATCCTCGATTCCTTCTGCTGATGTGTATGTGTGTGCGTGAAGCTGAATGCATGAATGTTAGGTGTGATCCCATCCTTTTCGTGTCACCGACCGGGAGTGTTTGAGAGATCGGGAATTCCAGGGATATTGGGAATGCTCCTGCTCGTCAGCCCGATCGAGGGTGGACCCGCCGACCAGGCTTTGGGATGAACCCTCCATCTCCCCAGCTACTCTAGCCCATACACGTGTCACGTCGTCGCCGAACCGGGGATCATTATCTTCGGGACCGAGTTTCCTCCCTACCACCACATCCCTATGAACCTCCCTCCGCGGCGGCCAAGCACGGCCAAGTCCACGGCCGCGGCCAGGTCCGTGACCCCGCGGACGGGGCCACGCGGCCGCGCAACTTTGCGGCCGCATGACGGCCAGTGAGGAGGAGGGTTGGGGATTTGGGAAGCACCATGAGGCGGCGCAACCCCAGCCCCACCCCCTCAAACAAAAAATAATTAAAAAAATAAAATTTTGGGTGGGGGGGTTTGGCTGTGAGTGAAGATAATTGAAAAAAAAAAATGCATTTTTTTTTCTTTTTCCGTTGATTGATTGATTGATTGATTGATTGATTGATTGATTGATTGATTGATTGTTTGATTGATTGATTGATTGGTGGGGGCGGGGTCGCCCCACCCCCCCGTTGATTGATTGATTGATTCATTCATTCATTTGATTTTGCTTTTTTTTTTTTTTGTTGATTGATTGATTGATTGATTGATTGATTGATTGATTGATTGATTGATTAACTGATTGATTGATTGGTCGGGGAGGGGTCGTCCCACCCCCCCGCCACCCACCACGCGCGCGCGCGCACGCACACACACACACACACACACACATACACACACACTCACAAATGACAATCCCGTGGGCGAGCGGGGGCGAAGGCGCGACAGCGGGCGCAAGTGGCGGTGTATATTTCCATGTTGTAGCTTGAGATTCATTCGATTTTGCTCCTCCTGTCGGTGGAAGTACCATGAGGCTAGCCGGGAATTCGGAAACTTGCCTGTTCTCTCTCTCTCTCTCTCTCTCTCTCTCTCTCTCTCTCTCTCTCTCTCTCTCTCTCTCTCTCT